AGTTTTCCAAAATAAAGGCTTAAAATGAATAGTTTCACTTTTTGGAAAATATGCTTATTTGCTCTCTTGGTGAGACTTAGACTTTATATATGCTCTAATACTTTAAAGAGAAACAGACAAAGAGGAGAGGAAAAAAGAAAGTGGAACTGCCAAAAATTACAGTTATATATTTAATCCATATGTTTCCTTTCTATTTTTGTTTTACTGAAAATTAATAACATAGATTTTCTAAATGAAGGGAATAGTTTAACCTTCTGCGAAACTGTTATACTTGCTTGCTTGCTGAGAGTTAGATGATTAGATTAAAGCCATTCTCATGTCTGTATACTGAATATGAAATTACTGCCAGCAGCTGGTTAGCTTAGCTTAGCATAAAGACTGGAAACCGGTGGAAACAGCTAGCCTGCATACCAGCCCCTCCAAAGCTCACACATATTTATCTAGTTTGTTTAATTTGTACAGCAGTGGAAGTGTAAAGACAAACAGTTCATGGTTTTGCAGGAAGTTATGTGCGGGACTATTTCTCAACCAGGTGCCATCCCCCAATAAACACCTGAGCAACCAAGCAAGTGGAGCAAATGCATCCCCATTATTTAAGAATAAACTTACCATCATACGATCAGCATAACCAACCTCTTTTCATCCCCACGTTGTAAAATACTGACACTTTGTCACAACCCTTGGCATGTGATGTCGACACCAAAGGCTTCATTTGGTATCTTCATGAGACGCACTGGGTTTTCAACTAACTCCAATGTAAATATATCATGGCAATACTTGACACCGAGAGCAAGTGATGTGGCATAAAGAGCAAGACAGTCTGTGTAGGGTGGGAGGGAGGGAGAGAGGGAGGACATGATGGGTCAAACACTTTCACTCAGGAGACCACAGTTTGTGTCCAATGTGAAACCAAAAGTCAATGTTGTTTAAACACAATGTTATGTAATTTACATACAGTGTTTGTGCACTGATATCATTCATGTTATGTATTTATATCACGGTACATTGTTGTAATTTAACACATAGGGGTGTCGCAATATTCCGGTAATCATTCAGTCATTACTCCATAAAAAGTAATTGCTCTTTCTGCATGATTTTATACAGTTATGGTTACAGTCTCTCTCCACCTTCATACTCTTGTATTTATGGTGTAATTCATTTGCCAAAAAAGAGAGAAAACTAACAATAAACAAAGTTAAAGATGAATGTGACTGATTTTTTGCCGATTTTTCTGTAGGTATTGCATTAATATTGTTATCGTTATTTACTCTTTTTGCCACAATAACCTTGTATTTAAAATCTGATATTGTGCCAGCCCCAGTAAGCCTAAACATGACTTTTTTTCTTAATCAGTCCTGTTACCTAAAATGTAACCACAACCGTTTCACAACATTAACCATGTGTTACAATGTGTTTCAACTGTGCGTCAAATACAGACCCTAAAGGATGGCCTGTGCATTGCAGAGAGGCCTGACAAAGTGTCAGTGTGTGACGACCTGGGAATGAGAATGGGTTAGCATAACCCCCTGAAAAATTACAAATTGATGTTTTTACAACTGGTTTTTGTACACATTAAACAAAATATAATGCCCTAATTAGTGAGCTTTAGAAGTGCTTGTAGGCTATTATTACCTTTGCACAGAACCAGGCTAACTGTTTCCTCTTGTTTTCCATCTTTATGCTAAGCTAAGCTAATCAGCTGCTAGCTTGGCTCTAGCTACTTATCTACTGTATAAACAGGAGAGTGGCATCAAAGTCTCATCTCACTGGTCAAGAAAGCAAATAGGCATATTTCTCAAAATGGCGAACTGTTCCTTTAATAAGGAGCATCTGCCCTGTATAATTTAACAGAGCTGGAAAAAGAATATGAGCAGAGCTATTTTGTGAGGAAGAGCGAACGGAAAGAGAGGAATCCACAGAGAAACGGAAGCCAAGATGCTCATTGCCAAACACGCATACACACACACACACACACACACACAAAGGAAACCTCTTGTGCCGTGCTGTGTAGCAGACAGACAGGCAGTGATACCATCATCACACACAGCATGCTTACAGAGTTACACATTTACACCTCTCTGGCCTTCTGCCTGCTACCTTTCTTCCCATCCACTATGATATCGCTCCATATTTCTGAGGGAATATACGTTACACTTAATCTGTCAGCACTACACTGTTCACGCCGCAGGAATGGCACCAGCTAAAGATTTTATTACACAGGACAAGGAGCAGGTTTGGTAGGTGTCTCCTCTGGGGTGACATGTCCTCCGAGGACAACAGCAGCAGCATTGTGCGGAGAGCCTGACTTGTGTCCTTGTTGGGAGATTCCTCAGCATTCCTGAAAGCACTGTCGCTGTGACTGGGAGCTCTGTTTCGGCACCCCCGAAGCTTACAACAAACCCCATGGGAGCGTCGGTGCACAGCTTCCCAAATTCCACATGTTCACAGAGACCCTGAATGAGACATGAAAGACCTTTTGGAGATCAAGGTCAGGCAGCAGAGGCTGAGGTGAGCACTGCTGCCAACATGCCCCAACAGTCCTCTGTCTGCCAGCTGCGATCTCTGAGCGTAGAGGAGTTGGTCTTCACTTCTATCTATCGTTGCTTCTGGCACAGATGATAATTATAGTACAGTGATGCCAGAAACAAGACTTTTCTTGCTTGGGTGTAGCTGTGGGCTACCTATAAAGGTGCCAAATGCCTGATAATTCACTCATGATCTGAGTCATAAAGGGAAAAATAAACATCAATCATGCTGATTCATTGCATTAGAAATTAAATCTAAATGCCATTAAGACCTACAATGACAAAGTTGAGCAATATAACAGTATAATGCCTTAAAAACTGCATCAGTATCATACTTTTCTATAAAACACCAATTTTCCTGCAGCCTTGAATTTACAGTTTGGCTTGACTTGGTATTATTAATCATTTACTAATGATTTCTAGATCACTTATAAGACATAAATGAGATCAGATTTTGAGCTGGCAAGCTTTGAAACAGTCCCATCAGGCTGGTGTTCATCCTCTCTATATAGCACTAATACAATATAAATGGTAATCCGTTAATAAATGGGGGTTTCATAGGTTTCTTAGATGAGCCATTAAGTCTGCCGTTTTAAATGTTAATAAGTTGTTAAAGGTCCCATAATTTTTAGATTCATACTCGTTTCTACTAGAACTATAATTCCCTCATTAAAAAAACAACAACTTATTATTCTCATACTGTCTGCCTGAATATACCTACATTCATCCTCCATTTTAGTGCTAATCGGTTGGTCCACCACTTTGGTCCAAACTGAAATACTTTCAGATGGATCACTGTGAAATCTTCTTCAGACGTTCATGTTCCTCAGAGGATGAATCCTGCTGATTTTGGTGACCCCCTCATGTTTCTTCTAACTCAACTTGCAAATCAAATATTTAACATATCCTATAAAATATTTTAATATGTACACGAGGAATTGGCATAACTTTTTAACTGACATTTATAATTCCCAAAGGATGAATCAAACTTAGTGATTCCTTGACATTTTGTCTAGCGCCCACCATGAGGTTGAAGTGATTATAAGTGACATGAACACACAGGAAGAATCGTAATAACTCTGGCGATCCCATAACTTTCCATCTCCATTTTTATTTCTCCAATATTTTTTTATCATGAATAAAAACCTGCAAAACTAATGACATTCCAATCAACCCTATCTGTACTTTGTTAGTGTCAATAGCCAATGTTAGCATGCTAATGACCTTGTTAGCCTTTTCACTGTGAGCATGTTACCTTGTTGAAATTGACTTTTTGACCAAATTATTAATCTCCTGATATTCAAATCAGACTAAACTGTAGGCCTACTTTGTGTTTAGTGCTTACTAGCAAATGTTACCGTGCTAATGAGCTTGTTGGCACTATCATTGTGAGCCTGTTAGCTTGTCGACATTGACCTTTTGACAAAATTATTAAACTACTGACATTCACTTCAGACTCCACTGTAGGCCTACTTTGTGTTTAGCGCTAATTAACAAATGTTAGCATGCTAATGAGCTTGTTCATACTGTTGTGGTGAGCCTGTTAGCTTGTCGACATCTACCTTGCGGCCAAATGATTAAACTAATGACATTCACTTCAGAGTCAACTGCAGTTTGGT